GGCGCCGTTTAGGTTTAACGATAGTGACTTTTCGTATAGGATATCGCTATCGCAGTTAAGGTTATGTGCATGCCAAATAGAATCGTTCACAGATATACCAGTGCATCACCTAAAAAAAAAAACTAAGCAGCTCGCGATGTGTGCGATTAGATCAGAATTGCAGTCCCTATCGAATTGGACGCACTGCACACGCGTCAATCGATTACTCATATAAACTTCGTAAGCACAGAGCGACCTGTGTACATATACGAGTTTGCCATTCATGCTGGAAATCGGGCGACAAATGCACATCTGTTCAGTGTACTACCATACATACGACCCTGAGATGGCTGATGGAGGCTTTCACGAGTAAAAGTAAGCGGCAAAATCCCGTAGCGTTCTCCAAAAGCTTCAAGATATTAATCATCTTTCTCTGCCTATGAATAGAATAATAATGTTTAATAATAAAATATATAGTCTATCGAATGCTTCCGTTCAGACAGCCTATATGTCATCAGTTCAACGTATGATGAAACCAACGCCTAAACGTATTGAATGCCAGTGTTGTCTGCTGAGGCTTCTCGGGAGATTGCTGCGTTCTATTTCTGTCCAGTGCTCGGCAGTGCGCAAGCGTACAAAAATACACGCTATGAGCAAAAAGGGCAGACCTGAAGTGTCTTCGCCTATCTATTATAAACGGCATCCTGTCTCAATGCTTAGTTCCGCCGTTGGTTTAACTAAAAGGAGCACGTTTACCGTAAACGTTGTGCTCAACTATACCACCGTTCTATCGGTCAGCAGTTCGGATAATTCGCTCTACAATCAACACCGACATATCCTCTCGCTAAAACTGGAGCTTCTACCCACGCCGAACAATTTCATCATATACACTCTCTTTATTTACTGACTTTTGTTACGCTCTTTTATTAAAACAGAATGATTGCTTTTTTGCTGACGTCATCGACCGCCGCCATCGCGGCCCAGATACGCTCAGGCTACATACCTTGGTGATATCGTTTTCTCTAAGTCGATCCGAACTGCTGTTGTTGTTACTTCAAGAACTCGAGTTTTTGTCCCCCGCAGATTTTTTGCTTCTTTCTGTGTGTAAGAGGAGAGAAGCGAAACAGTTGTATTCAGTTGTATTTACGATCGCTTGCGAGTCTTTTCACGGACTCGAAGAGGGTTTCTGGCGCGATGTAACCCGCGATGCTTCTGCTGCTGCTGCTGATTGAGGGGGCAGACATATAAGAAAGCAGCCAGCAAGGACTATCTGTATATAAAAGATAAGATTACTGCCGAGGATGGTGGTGCTGGTGATGACTGGGGACAGTCGAACGAGAAGTGGACGGCAGAGCGTTAAGGCCCAAGACTTTATTTTTTATCTCTCGTTCGACTCACTCTGTGTGCCTTCCCTGGGTGGTCCTCGTACTACGCAAGCCTCTACCTTAAACTCCGCCCCTATCAAGCTGAATAACCCGGAACAGCTTGAGTTCGGTTAAATAGGTACAACGTTAGTATAAGGAAAATTTTACACTGTGCGCTTTTGCCTCCGGATCCTGGTTAGCACGTGCAACAAAGCTGAGGCGACACTGGTCGGCCTTTGGCAGAAGTGCAAACCCCTTTAATCTAAAGGGCTGCGGTAGCTCCGTTGCTCTGCGCCGACAAAAGTGTAGAGCTAGCAGAGAGCCTTGGAACAGCCAAGGATCGGCAGGCGTCCCCTAGCAACGAAATCAAGCTGACGAAATTCGCGAACAAATTACGGTCGTAGAAACAGAAGCAGGGGGCGCCACATAGGGGGAGCACAAAATTGAGAAGTGATGAAAGCGATGACGGGTTGTTGTTGCCAGTCGTGCAGTGGTGATGGTGATCGTGTACGCCATAATATAGTAATGTTTTCTTTGTGCAAAAGATCCACGTTCTAGCAACCGCCAAATCTCAACCGGTTTGAGTTCAGTAAGAAAGAAAAACTGATAAAGCAATAGCCTAAAAAAGCGGCTGTGAGAGAAATAAAACGTACATGAACAGGTATAGAGAGTGAAGGAAAAGGTACTGCTGCAGCGCTAAAAGCAATGTCTGATCAGGTTTAGGAACTATCTGGGGTTTTCGGTAGCTATACCCTCTATGTACCTTTGAAGCCCCTTTATGTACTCCGAATTTCGTTTCAGTACAATCTTCTGGACCGTTCAGACTTTAGGGTGAATGCGAGCGAAAAACAGGTCTCAATTTTCGCAGTCACCCAGAAACTCACAGAAAGAAGCGCCACCTGGAAAATGTTGGGTGCTCAAAAATTTGGGGAAAAACGTTTAAACCTTGAGGGAAAGCAAAAAGGAAGCAGCAGTGTCTGCGAATCCAGACGCACATAAAAAGAGTCTCAGATGAGTTTATTGGTTTTGTTAGCCTTGAGGGTTCAGCGACGTTTAATACAGTATACGTACGTGTACATATGTGTGTGTGGCCGGCTCTCGTCCATTTCTGGCCTGTGGTTATACGAGTGTATTTGTCTGATGAGACTGAGAAGGTCATCTCGGTGAGCTTCACTAGCCAAGAAAACTTTCCTCCCTTTTTTTGAGGGTACGACAGGATCGGTGTCCAGTGTGTGCTACAATACTGGCAGTACGGGCCTGAGGTGAGCAACATCTGCCGGCAACAGTTGTGACAATCTTGCAATGATTGTCACGCATCCATATACACACATCAGAAAGATTTTTTTGAACATAGCTCACCTTCGAGAAAAGTTTGGCAATCTGCAGCATTTTTGTATGTAGTTACATTTTGGAATCCACTGACTGATGAAGAATTTCCACGACAGAAGCACACAATCAAAAAAACACCAAATGCACCATTATGTTGCATCCATCAATGTCCGGTGCTCGGATTCTTGCCTTAGAAAGTGTACTATATATATAACAATAGCAGTATCGATAGAAAAAAGCTACTATTTCACTAGCCGTTCAGGCCTTTTGCCCTCTGGCTATATTGTTAACGTACATACCTGTAAGGACACAGTATATGCCCGAGGACGAATCTGCTAGAGAACATCAGGTGCACAGTAGTAGTAATGATAATAACAATATCAATAGTTATTATTAAAAATAGTTGAACATGTTCACTATCTACAAATTGGACATTGGTTTGACCTTCAGTTATTCGCGCTGTCGGACTTTATTCATTAAGATCATAACAACGTCGCCTTTGCTGAATGTATTGGCATTTTACGCTCAGATATCCGAACGCGACACATGTCAGAGTATAAATAGGCAGCGACGACAGCGACACACTGATGCAAATCAGGATCATAGCAGCGATAATGTAACATCTTACAATGTCGCTTACGGAAACACGGCCTATTCATTATAAGTTCTTTACTACAAGAGGCAATAGCAAGAAAAGTATGCGTTCGCGCCAAATAATGCCATTTGATTCTCTACGTAGTATGAAGATTAGCTTAGGGACAATCTGATAACTTTGGCAAGAGGCGTTTTCAGAGTTCGTGTAAGGCAAAATGTTAATGGTGGATTATGAAGATACGGGGGCTGGATCTCCACTCCCGATCTATTTCGTTGACTATACATAACGCGTATTCGACACGCGTGACGGCCTCAAGTGAAACTCGATGCGACGTTCTGTATAACCTAGGCGGCATTTTAGCGTTTATTTTTATTTAAGTTATTTATGATTTAAGCCCTTCTAGTTACTTGGTAATATCTGGTACTACTTGTTTATATGATTAGATAGAATGTCGAAACATTGTTCTCTCGTATATAATTTTACAAAATATATATTTTTTACGACCAACGCAATAATGATAAGCGATATAATTATACTAAGACGTTTATGAAACGAAAAGTAGCTTGTGCTTATTACTTAAGGTGTGCACGTGCCAATGCAGCATATGTGACAAACTGTTTTCGAGTTCAAATCGAACAGCCAACGAGTCCGCGAACCTAAAGCAGATTATATCGACAGAAAAACCGGCCATGTACCTAACGATTCGTGTGACGGAAGCTCATTTGATTAAACCCACTTCTATTTGAACGACTGATTCGGCCCCATTTGAGTCCTATAGGATTCGAGGCCAATAATATGCTGTCTCATATGGTAAGTACTTGTCCTGCCAGTTTCATGCGCTTTTCGTCAAGCTTAGAAGCGCAGATTATGTTTTATACACAAATTTGGTGGTCTTAGCCTGATAATAGAATCAAAGCCAGCTTAATCAGTGTGCCTGATTAAGGTGCAGGCATAAATTTAGAAGACAGTGGAGCGTTCTGTACATGTCGATTTCCATCACAGATGATCGTGACGCACCGAACTACGACTGTCCGATGGTACCGTATCATTGTTTGTGCGTCTGGATTCCCATACAGTTATTGGGGTATTGCAGGCGCCGTGCCGTTACTCAACTCATAATGCAGTTGTTATGAAGCCGACATATCATACGATATCACTATGATAACCTTCGGGGGACTGAAGTGGCAGCAAATAGCCCCGTTACAAATCGCTGACACTTTAACCAAAGACATGCAGACTCTATGATATGTATAAAACTCGCTATGATGAAATTACGTTACGGCATAAAAGGACTGAGTCTGTTAGTGCAGTCTACCGCAGGCTACGTTCTTTCGCCAGGTTTATCTATATTCGTTATCCAGGTCGCAGGAAAACCTAACAATGCCACTCAGCGTGTTCTAACAAGGCAGATTTAGTAACCGAATTATCAATGATACACGTACGATATGTAATTAGAGTACAAGGGATCGCTTTATTGTAGTATTGGTATTCGTGGTGGTTTTCTAGATGCATGCGCTATAGCGCCCCATTGACACCTGTGGCACGCTGAGAGCACAAAGCTCTGTCGTTTCTGGCCTATAATCTAGGTATATCTATGATGTACGCCGATATAGCCGTCGCTATTCTTACTGTCCTAGAAAAAAAAATTGACCCTAGTTAGTAATTAGGCCATTTGCGTCCTTGTTCTCTTTCTTACCGTTGTTTTCGTGTATTATCGGGGTCGGTGATTACAGCGGCGTTGGTAGAAAACACCATCATTTGTATGCATGGAGGCTTATCACCCGAGCTGGATAATCTCAACCAACTCCGAGATATCCCGCGTCCGATTGACATTCCCAATCATGGCCTGCTCTGCGATATACTCTGGGCAGACCCAGACGACGACGTAATCGGTATGTTATGTCGGTATTAGATGTATCGTCTAATAGTACCTTTAATATTACACGCTGTAGACACAAAAGTTATTTACATGTAAGCTACTCTCCTGAATATAATATCCACCCAGTGTGTGCTTAGATTAGGTAATTAGAAAAATTTAACTTTCATCAATACCCATTATGTTTTACTTCCTAGATAGGTTTTCAGTTGTAGGTGATCTTGGCCACCAAGATCGTGAGAATATCAGCTGTGAACTTTTTTTTCAGGTCAATTGAGCTCCAATTTTGAGACAAGATGCTTCAATGGTTGTATGGCTTTTCCAATGGCATGCCCATCTTCACAGCTACTCGGTCATGGCCTTTTTCAACGATCATTATTTTCTAACCATTAGAGTTCTAGAAATTAATTCTCTGTACTTACAGCCTCATAATCATATTGATGCCTGCGTAGAGTCAGTTTCATACTGGAAACGATGCAATTGCCTGATTGCTCTTGTTCTAGCCATCATATACTAGAAATATGTACTCCAGGCGAGCTTATACTAATCATACAGATGGACAAAGTGTCTGTACACGACTAATGCTACTTACGCCTCGTCTCAATATACGCTTAACCGTACCTGTAATCGATGACGGGCAATAAATTTAATAAACTTATGAACCTTTGCTACCATTTTTATGTTTCTAGGATTCTATATACTCGGTTTCGATTTTTACGGAAGTCCTAGTACGGATCATGTGCTAACTGACCGCTGATAATCTGCTAATACAATAGATAATACTTCGTCATTCACCTACTGTAGTCGATGTGCAAGGCATGGCCATGTAATCCTGTTCAATGCTTATTTTTGAAAATCTGCCATTCTACAGCAGTACAGGCTCGGTACGTCAGGCGTTTTAATTGTGAAACGATTCGCTTGCCTCTTAAACCTTAGTTATTCCTCCTGGCTGTGCTTATTTTTTGCTCATGGTCCAGCCTATCGCCTGTGACATTCTCGTCGGAGCTATTTCCCCGTAAGTATTCTAATTCCTTCATGAACGATGAGCGTCTTCGTCGTTTTGGCGCGCTTCTAAACCGTTTCTTTCGCCAGCCTTTACCGCTGGTCAGGCCAGCGTTGGCTTGCTAACTTCTAGCTAGCATATCACTGTCTTCATAGTGTTTTCTCGAGGCGTGTATTTTCGTCTTCTTGCCTCTTTCAAGGAACATCCTCGTTCAAGTCTGGTAGCTTGTGGATTTGCCCGTTTCTCGATTTGGTAGTCAGATACGTATATCTCGGTTCGTCGTACCCGGCGTTTTACCTAAGGGCAGACTGGACGAGAACATTAAGAATAACCATTTTTGGACTCTGCAACAACACCTGCCCTTTTCTTTTGGGACCATATGGCTTTGTGGCCTCATGCCCTCACCTCGGTCTGGCTAACCGGAACAAGTCAAAATGATGTAGCAACCTGCGGCTTTAAGTATAAGCTGCAGTGCACATATACGTGAGAACGCATTAACGTTGATGATGGCCGATGAGATCCACATGTTATTAAGAGCACGTACCGTGAGACTTCTTTTGTTAGCGACGCGACGGCAAGCGCGAGCAACACTGCTTGCCGATCTATTATTATACAACGTACACAACCTGGCGGAGAAGAGGAATCGTGATAGCTGCTGTTTATTCATCAGTACGCTTGTCGCCAAAATTGGCGGCGTCGATCAGTTATGACCACCAACTTTGTTATTGTCGAAATCGATAGTAGTAGATAACGCTTTCTCTCGGCATCAAGCAAAAAACGGGATTAATTCGGAACACCGACAGCGAAAGGACAAAGGCAATTCAGATTGACAATGTATACGTGCACCCCATTGCCCGCCGCCGGCCGTTTTTAACATTGTTTTTATTGAATATAAACATTTCCCGCTCTTTTATGTCGGCAACCGTTTGTCTGTAAGGCTCATCTAGACCAGCCTTCGCCCCAAGGGCTAAGCCGATCTGGAGCCGAGAGTTTGGGCTAATGAGTTTGTTGGTTATGTGCGCGAGCGCAGTTTGGCAGACTCTAAGTGATCCGGGATACCATCTGCGCATTACATATCGCTTACACCAGACCATCTGTAAATCAGAAGAGGTACTCATGGACACAGATAATCATATTCGTGAAGAGGACTTCAAGGCTCGGAGGAGGATCTGTAGGTTAGTCGCAGGGACTTCGGAAGGGACGGAGCATTTGAGTATGAGCCGGGAAAACCTGTGTGAGCGACAGAGATTGCGGTGGGCCTTTTACTACCGTTATTGAAAGGCAAGAAAAAGAGCCCTACTATTCGCGGTAATGGCAGAAGTATTTGCTCTCCGAGTATGGTGCAACTAACTGATATGGCAACCTGACCCAGAAGAAATCCTGGTGGACGAAGCTTCTCTCTCACTTTACCATTTCTTCGTACTCTCCTGTCATTCTAGGAGAGAACAAGGGATTATATTTTCTAGTGCAGCCTAGTGTAAAGAGTTAATCTGGTGAAGTAAGATGGACATTTGCATGGTTAAAAGGCTTGCATATTGATATACATAAAATGTACATATACATATAAATGTAGCGAATATGTACAGTATTAGATGTAGCTAAAATACACGTTAAGGTTATGCTCATATATACGTAATTCCGCAGATGCGTAAGGAGTTGTCTTTTACAAGAAAAAAGCATACAGGTTTCTTTCTGATATTCACTAGAATCGTAAGTGTTCAAACTACAAGTAAATCTTTCTTATTATTAGGAAGTTATGTATACTAGAACATAGTACAAATACATCCTGAAGAGGCGGAAGCTGCTTTCGCAAAATTTGAGCTTCAATAAGGAACAAGCTCGGAGCGACTTCGATTGTCCAAATGTTAAAAGAGCCACATGTTGACGCGGCGAACACCGTTGTCTTCAAGAAATAACCGTATATTACAAAAGATGAATGATACGCGCCGAGGTAAAGATTTCTATACGGTAATAGACATCTTTGCTTGATCAGAGACATACAACTGGCATTTCTCGTAGGAAAGCCGGATATAAAGGGGTGCAACCACAATCATTGTGTTGTTTTCAGTGCACGTATTGTATTTGCATCCATATATATGCCTATAATTTCTTTTTACGCTTTTTTTTACTTTTTTTTTTTTTTTAGACAACCACGATTTTTATTACTTTTGGAGTGCATATAATACTCTATATTTGCATTCAGTGCACGTGTCTGTTCGAGGTGCACGATCATATTTGTACGAAACCGGACGAAAAAGATGACCGTGGCTGAATTCAGCCTCAAATACGCTTTCGACAGAGGGCGCAGAAATAACTGGCCGCGCTACTACTACTGCTGCTGTTGTTGTACCGGTGTCTGCCAGTTGCAAGCACTGACGAAAATGTATGTAGATTGATCGGGCAGTTCATTCCCGTATTGCAGCTGGCGGTAAGCGGACTTTTATTGAACCCGCTCCTGTCGATCGGCTATCAGGTGCAATACCTTTCCCTTCATGCTAAACTTCGTCCGTGATAGCTGGCCGACGTAAGGCTACAAAGAATCGATGTAAGATTACGGGATGAAAATGTTGTTTACGGCATGACTGTGGTGCCCAGCGTCCGCGCTCGATTTCGCCAAAAACAGGACATTGGTTTTTTTGGTTCTACTTTATAGAAATTTGGTCTGGTCGGTAGATGTAAAATAATTCAATTTAATCACATAATGTATTTAGTAAATAGATGAACAATGTTCCCCGGACAATTGTTTCTCGCCTAGAGCTCAGCTGTCGACTGGGTTAGCCCCATTTTGGCTCAATCATAATTTTCATTATGCGCGCGATCTGTCGATAAAAAACAGCAATCACAATGATTCTTTATGTTATTAAAAAATGCATCGAGAATTCGAAACAGATAATTGAAGCCCAAATACGTTCTCTGGTCGTTTAACTTTCGGGCATTAGGTCGTTCTACAATAATTTAAGGACCGTCCTTCAATATAGATGTTCAATTCGGTTGAAACTTTTCGAGACCAAAGAGCATCATATATAGAAACTCGGTCGGCAAACATAACGCGGCCTTCGACGACGACGATGATATTTCAGTAAGGCTGTAATATCCTATCATGCAGACCTTCATCAGAGGTGTCCACACTGTTTGGGTGTCTCTTACGCATCGTGACTAGCTGTAACATCAACCGGACAGCACCAGGGTCCAAATACACCTTTCCGTGGGCTGCCTTCTCTCGACTCTAGCCAGCTGCCGGCAATGCGATGGACCTCCCGGTGATAAGCATCCAATATCTCGTAAAATGTTGCGCTTTCGTACTAACGCCATTCATCTCCAAAGGTACCTTTTGAACTCGAAGTAGTTGTCAGGTAAATATCATCCAAAGAAAATTATATATCGGAACAACCAGTGCGTTTGCTCATCACCCGCGTGCATTCTCGATAGTATCGGGAAGAGGCAAACATAAAAGGAAAAAAAAAACTATTATATATAATGAAACGTGCCCCTTCGCAAACACTTGTCGAAGGAAATCACTTAAGACAATTTCGAAAAAGATGGATTTATTTTCGAAAATTTGCGCCAGAACGGAGACCTCGTGTTGTAACATATGAATTGCCATCCGCCGATTCGTAACGAAAGATGAATCAACACTACACTAGCTCGCTACATCAGATGAGGTACGAATGAAGATGTTGCCTTATGAACGCAGTACCACAAGCAGGCAGGCAGGTTCCGTCTTATCGACTATAAATCACTTTACCTGGGACACAGTACTGATTCCAATAGATTACGCGAAAGGCTCCACGTATTTAATGTTTGGCGTATGCAGATAGACAACGAGAAATGAATAACTTATCTATACATTTCCGTCTGCGACAAATGCCGTCGATACATATCTAGCAAATGTATCCGTTACTAGATATACTTAAACACGGCGACCTCTGAATTTGGCTATCCTCAGCGTTCCTCGCATCATCAGCATGCTTTTTACTTCGTTATACCCTCACAGCTATTTGTCACTATATATAACATATTGCCGCCGTTATGGACCAGCCGGTCGTGCACTCTTATTTCGTCGTGGTAAACGTAACGTCTATTCAGCGATATCATCCTGTCATTTGTTTCAATATTGCTCGCTTGTTCACGAAAGAGTCGTTTGTGAGACTGTGATGACCTTACTAAGCGTAAAGAGAAGTAATAACTCTACAGTGTGAGGTAAAACAATATGGCTGTCCGTGTCGCGATCGTGAACGGTTCAAGTGAGCCGATTCAGTCGTGGACAAGTTCTACAGAGATAAGCGTAAAAGTCTCGGCAGACATAGACGAACGCTCGCAGACGCTCAAACTCTATATCTCTTCCAGTTGTTGGCAGGCTTCTAGCCCCACACCTATCCTCCTCATTCTAGAGAGAAAGAGTTATTTTGGTCTGTGCAATGGTCTGTTAAATGTCGCCATAGCAACTTTGTGAGATAGACGAACACCATTTGTGGGCAGCCCCTACGAGCACTGACCCACGTGTGGCAGCACCAGCGATTCAAATCCGCTGTTCAGCCTTCATCTGGCTGTATCTACCGTGAGCGAGACTTTATTATTTCAAACCGCCGTTTACCATACGACCAGGACCTGAAGGCTCATCCGTCTATCCATGCTGTGTACATCGCAGCTCGATTTGTAGTTGAGCCATTAAGCATCAAAGGATATGGCAGCCGCCTAAAGGACTAACGTCCGTATGTGTCTTATACAGCCCAATGCGTTCAGCTCTATCCGTATCCGTGTACAACGCAGATACACACACGCGCCCCTATATGTTTATATCATAGATGAGTTGATCGGGATGGAACTACTGAGCACGAACCCTTCACCCTAAACAGGTCCAAACTGTTCGTAATCACTCATTGTAATAAAGCAAAAATTACGTTAACGATATGCGCCATTATCATACATAGCAGTTCACCTGCTAACCGACCAAATCCGTTCAGTTTAGCTTCAGCAGGAATCCGATTCATACAGCCGTAAGTTTGGACGTGGTCGGCACGACGCGAGCTAATAGAGCGAAAGAACGGACGCTAAGTGAACGACGTCATCCGCTCAATTATTTGCGTTGAGTGAGTCTACAGAAGGTTGATAACAACCGTTTACAGGGCTAATAAGTTTATACAATATACATATAAAGAGAGCACGAGGCAGACAATGGCAGTAATAACGAATGAATGATGATCAAAAGACAGCGGTAAAAGGGTATCTAGAATTTTGCACGTCGACCTGTATAAAGTGCTTTCCAAAGGACCCATAACAGATATAGGCTAGTCGTAGATGTACAATTACCCGAACAGAGTAAAAATATTACATACTACTTATTTATCTAGAAAGATTGATAGCGACATCCACTAATGTTTTGTACGGCAGCAAGACGCACCACACATGTAACCGTTCCGAATGATGCTGAAATTCAAACTTTAAGATATAAATATCTTGCATTGCATATACGTGCCGGACATTAGCCGATATACCTATTTACCCCAGTTTATCCTATAATTAATTTAAACCCATTTAGTGTGAATCCTAGTTCAAGCTAGGCGTAGTTCCTCCATCGTCCTATTCAATTTAGCCCGCCGGATGTCTTATTCATTTGGTTGTCCGCTGATTCTATATGATCGCGCTTATCGAGAACTGTGTGAAATTATTTCAGTGACCTTCGCAGGTTCGATTTTTCAATAATCTTAATTTGGATCTGGGACCTGCCATAGTTATGTCATTTCTATCCCGTACTCCCATTGCAAGGAACTTTTCCCTTAGTTATCACTAACTCATTGCTTTGCTATTATTGCTAGACTAGCTATTTCGGTTATTCCATTGCCTCAAGTTAAAACTAGCCCTAACTTCTAACATAATATGAAGCTGTGGGAAAAATTAGAAAAATAAACCGTTTTAATGATGTTTTTCATACATTTTTGACCCTCTGTAAGAGAATACCTCAATGATACTAATAAGAAAGCTTTTTTTTTTCTCAAAAATCCAATTTAGTGTCTATTTTAAGTCTATGGAAGAATTCGGATAAATAAGCAACTTTCCCATCTCGGATCCTCTACAAATCCTCAATTGTTATTGAGACAATTACCCAAAAAGCTAACGTATTTCCGTTTTAGGTTTTTTTTCTTTCAAAAAGACTTTCTTCCTAGATGTGCAGTTTCGTCAAGCCAAGCCTGTGTGCAAATATTCATAATAATTTTTGTTATATTATGTTTTTTGCATCCTTGTGATGCTTGGACAAGCCGAAGTGGTTAGCATTATAAGCCGTTGAAAAGTCGGCTGAGAAGATAGTAAACATAGAGGAAGAGGAAGCTTTTTGTGCAAAAAGGGCACAAGAAGAGTTCCACAAGCATCATAATATCATTAGCCCATAGGCAAATCATATAGTACAAATAATCGAGTTAGCTGAAGCGGACGCCGAGGAAATGATGAAGGAACGCCGTTAGGCAGATAAAAAGCTATTGAAAAATCTAATTATCTTGTAAATTATTTGACTACTATAGATAATCCTGTACTAATTTGTTGGTCATACCTTTATTTTGACCTCATAGCCTTGCAGTGCTATGGATAATTTATGTGTGGAGATGGATTTCTTCGGTATCGAACCGGTTTGGTAGTCATTAGGGTTAGGCACATGACAAGTAAAGCTGTATGAACGTACACACTGACCATGATTTCGGGGCTCGGAAAGATTTCAATGGATTAATAGGAACAAAAAACAAACTACTTGCCAGAGTAAAACGTCGTAGTAAGCCCCGGCTCCGCTGTTTTCTAACGAACTCAACACGTTTTTACGAGCGCTACGTCTTGTTGCTTCATCTCTACAACACACCTTTTCAAACCTGCGTCATATTAAATCTTATCTAAGGCATTCTAGCCGTTTATGTCCTGATAAAAAAAATACCTCGTACCTGATGTCTCTCTTCGTGATTTAGGCAGATATGCCTCATTGTTGTTTTGAGTCCAAGACTCTTGAACCGGCAGCACTCGAGTCAAAAGCATTTCTAAACATCTTCGACGAATGTCAGGTTAGTTATAGATGTCCTCAAGACTGTTGCGTGGGGTTGCAAAAGGGGAAAGAAAAATATTCTTATCAGTAACGGAAATCGGTTCGTTCACCTCATGCTAGAATACACGCATAAGGCGTGTCTACGGCCACATATGTTTAACGCCTTTGTATACTTGCAAGGACAAACCATTAAGTATGGCTCTTTGGTTGAGCATCGAGATCATGAACGAGCGAGGCAATTTGAGGTATTTCTTGCGACATATTTAGGTCGCTGTTGGATATAATTTTTAAAGAGAAAGACAAGCTTAATACTATAAAACAAGGCCTACTTCTTAAAAGTGCGCAGACCACATTTAGCTTTTCTCTATCTACAGCTCATTGACCGGCATAAGCCCTTGATGTTACATGGAAGCCTAAACATTGGAGTTAGAACGCGGACACAGCGTGTCTGGGCTGTCTAGAGGATTTTGTCGTAAAAAAAATATTTTGCTTTTTGATATTAACAACCACTATACATTAACACACACAAAGCACAAAATACTTAGCGCAAAACTTGACTTACTTTCATTGTTTATAAGGTGCACGCCACCTGCCACTGGTATTTATCAAGAGGTCACCGTTTCGCGAGGGACGGGAAGTTAATATTAGACGCTTCCTATAAACAAGTCCTAATTGGCTTACGATGGAAAGACAGAAAATCACAAAAGCAAACGTGCAACTATTAATCGCTTGCGAAAACCTTAGCTAGCGTTGAATGTCGTAAAAAGGGCTACGAGTCTGATGGGGAAAGCAAAGCGTTATCAGACGTAAGACTGTGTCAATTGTATGGTCGCTCTCACAGACCCACCATCGACGGCTCGCCGTCAGAGATGCGCTACATTGCATAATAGTGCCATCGAGATGTGCGGCAAGCAGAAAAGTTCAGGTGTTAAGCAAACTATCGTAGATGATCGACCTGCCGCAATGCCGATATCCTTTTCTAATCAGACGAAGTCTCGTCAATTGTCCAGTGTAAGTCCGGAGCTAATCGGCCATTAACTGTACTTCCCGGAATAAGTAACATTGGCTGAGAGCAGAGGATCGGGGTCTATTTACTATACGTTAGCATAATATGTACATATCTAAACGTTGGCCGTCACCTTGTTCCGATCGTGTCGTAATGGAATGACGAATAGACAAACATTCACTACAACAAGATCACATATCTTCTTCCATTGCATTTGCCGCTTGTTTCTATTGGCTGTGCGCTGCTAGTACCGCTGCAATAACTCGGATTACCACTCAGTGTTATTTGTCGAATAGTGGGCATCCATTTTCGTGCGGTATCATTGCAGGCTGGGGCCAGAACGACCGTGGAGTTTCATATACATTTGGCGGCGAGATCGTGCGGAGTTTTCTCGAAAAGCACAACTGTTCCCTCATTGTGCGGGCCCACCAGGTCGTCGAGGACGGATACCAGTTCTTTCAGAAAAGACAGGTGAGCTTTGTCTCTGTCGGCTAGGTGAGACCTTTCCGCCCCGCACGTTTCACAAATGGGCCTTCAAGTCGTCCTTCAACTCTGGAGTACTTCGTGTGCACGGGATAGTAATAGGTTTCGCGTTGGAACGAGATGTTTGTGTCAGCCTAAGAGTGATTCGTTGCTTTTTTTGCCGCTGTTTTTGTCCAATCTTAACGCTCTACGGCGGAAATGAATTTCGAACAGAAATCAAGAGTGAGAATATATATCTTTACTGTTAGCTAATGAGACTGAATACACTATAAAAAAAAGTTCCTATAAAATCGAGCGGGTATAGAGGGAAAGTGTACAGTTCCGAATGTTATCTAAGAAACCTTCATATTTATGTCCATTATTGTCCTATTGAGCGTAAGGATAACTGAAATATGAAAACAGGACATCAAACGACCAATTATCTTAGCATCGTTCGTAATATATCATAATGTGATAAATAAATAAAGTGATGAGTTTACATTATTTATTTATACGATTAGAGGCGTAGATTTTGTTGCTGGACCTACTTTTCTGCGCTTGCGATAACTTAATACGGGATCGAGATTCAACAAGCTAATTTAAAAGTACACTTTATTAAGTAACTTTATTTATTTACATAGAATTTCTTCAGTAGTTCTGACGTTGTCATATAAACAGCCGCCAAAGATAAATCCTGCCGTATCATTCTGACTATAAAACAGTAGTAATTAAATTTATTAACCGATTTCTCTGCGATAGCAGTTGGTAACAATATTTTCGGCACCGAATTACTGCGGGGAGTTCGACAATGCGGGAGCTATTCTGTGCGTTTCCGAGGACCTCACCTGTTGGTTCAGTATACTTCCGGTAAGCAATTTCTGCCACCACGTACTAACTGTTTCTAGTTCGCTATCTAATAGCTGAAAAGGAGGTTAGTCACTCAGTCCTGATCTAGTCAGAGGCAGATATTTCTGATTTCCGACTGATCTCGATCAGCACAATCAAGTTATGACATGTTACAGTCGTATTACGTTTCTTGCCGAGCGTTAACCAAGGCAGTGAAGGTTCCCGTCGCGTCAAGGCATTTCCATGTTTGTCCCATTTGAAACACGTCGTCTAGCAAACCGTGATGTCAATCTTCGAGTCCAGTGTTCTAATACTACCCATTAGCAATACCTGATAGTATAGCTGCTTCACGTGTCACATCAATACCATTCGCGTCTAATTATATTGTTTGTTACAGCCCCTTAAGCCGAAAGTTCTGCACGTAAAGAACGGACGTAGATGATCTTCGTTGGAGCATTCTCTGCAGTCCTTTGGTCTTTCGTATCGAGCGGGGCAAACGACAGTTATCGGGTAACCAGGAGATGAAATACAACGAGGAAATCAACAATCGTTCGAGTGTACTGCTCCTCGAGCATATCGCAAATCATTCGTTCGACAGGAAAAAAAAGTAATCGCTGAATAAGTTGCAATAGCAGCTATCGAGTACGTTGAACAACTTTATTCGGACGAATGATTTAATATTATTGAAGTTATGTTCGATTTGTATAATTTAGCAGGCAAGGACTGCTGAAGTATTGAATGCTTGAAAAAGAGAAGTAGGTTCCCGAATACAGAAAGCGGAAACACTCATCCAAAGCTGGCCGCCTCTTGCATCTTTCAATCACCAATAGCAGCAGTGAAAGTCAGCCATTTTTCCACTACCGTTGGTAGACTGATGTCTTTCGTGTCTTTAATGACGCCCTCTGTTCATCAACAGCAGCAGTAGTAACAACAACAACAACAACCACCTACCTTCTCAGCTTTTCAGCAATAAGTTATCTGTAACCCCGTGTAGTTATCTGGGCTCGAATGAGGTATAGCAGCTCAGGACGATGGCCCTTAATCAAACTAGCCCAAATTACCACCGGCCAAAAATCACTAAAACGGTAAATGAACATACAACGAGCGTTCAGCCCATTTTCTTCGTTAATTTTTAGCACAGAGATTGTTTGATCGAAGGAAGCTTTATTTACATATACACAAAGGAATATAGAGAATGTCGTATAGGGACAAAAACATATATACATACGCATTCACGCACGGAATACATCATTTGCAGAGTAGGTCCTGTTAGTTGACGGGCATTCGACTAGAAATGTATGGAATAGGACCAGAGATCTGTTTTGCAAGCAGCATTCCAAATACCAACCAGTCTTCATTATTCAAACCAAGAAAGGTGTCCTAGTTTTTCCCAGAGACTGGAAATAACGATGACTCCTTCATAACAATAATAGTCACACATATCACCGATACGTGGTAAACACCAAGTACACTTAGAGGCTCAGCATTTGCTGGCCAAATACCTACCGGCGATTAGCTGACAAAGAACATGGTCCGGAAAAGAAAACACAGTTGAAACCTAAAGATACGTCTACAGGAGGAAACCATGACATACAGACATGTCGTTGCGAGCAGATGGTGCAGAGGTGCTATCGTAAAGGTGTAGAAAGCGCCTGCGCGCTAAGGTATGGGTGAACGTTAACTAGTCGATTGTTACATAAGGTGGGAAAGGGCAGTAAATAACAAACCTAGTAATTATAATCAACAGGCGCTATTATGAATAATTATTGTTACAAAAGTAGGCTTTAAGCAAAATAGCAAAGGCCTTGTTAGATGCGTGCGCAAAACCCCGTCATTGTGTTGTCAGAGAGGCCCTAGTAAGCGGCGTTTCATGTCCCGTTCAAGATGGCTCTTTTTGCAGGGACACCTCAAATTCAGTCTATTTCCATGCATACATTCACGTCACGTAGACGTCCGTATCAGAGGGGAGAAAGTCAACAGCTTGTTGATGCTGTTAGTTAGCCGGCCGTCCGAAGAATTGATAACAGGTGATTATATAATAAAAGCGAAAGAAGCAAGGAGGCCTAGCAGAAGAAGAACGAACGTAATGTAGGAATAGGAACTAAATAACGAAGATATCGGAAAGTCTTGTTTTAAAATAGCTAAAACGGAGCGTGATGAATATCACAACGGCACTTCTAAAAAGAAACAATTGAAGACGGAGCAAAAAAAAGAAGTCATTAAAGAATCTGGATGAGGGCAGGTGAAATCTAAGTCGCTGTTGTTGGTCCGCCGAACTACACATTTGTATATATATTATAACATAGCAAATGTATTTAGCACATCCGTCTCATAGACGGTTGTTTAAGCATAATAGAGAATTACTATAATAAAATAATTAAACGGGTAATTATTTAATTCACTGTACGATGCACTTTTTTCAGGACGTAATCTAAGCGTGTTCAATGATAGGTAGTTAGGTAAATAGGACATTTTGACAGACCTTTTCAATATGATAAATATCCGATATCCAACATGGCTTCAGGTAAGCCCAATAAAGCACAAGAGTTAATCAGTCAACAATTGCCTTAACTTAAGCGCACATAGAAAAAAAATAGTATCTGCGATACTTCTGATAACTAAAAATGATTTCTATATAACTAGCACGCAAAAAATACAAAAAGTAATATCATGTCTTCTTCATGCTCTCTAGCACCCGTTGGTCATTGCCAGCAAGGTAAGACGAGTGTGGCATACCTACTTATACATTTGTTTCACTGTTTCTATTAAAGTAGGATATGTTACTTCTAGGGAAACGTGATTTCCCTTTGGAATTATAAGACAGAAAGAACGTATTTCGGTTACTTTAGACCTTTTTTTTGGATTGGACTATTACACTTATCCATTTGGTTTTCTGTAGCTATTTAGCAGGTCTAAAGGATTGCATAACTTCTGAGCCACGTGAAGTAAAACAACTATATTTGATATATGTTCAATGTATCGGCCCTAATCGCTTGTAGCACTAAGGCTACGGCTTTAAGGGCTTCTGAATAGCACCTAATTTTGTCATTACTAGCTTGCTCAAGAGTATCGGCCGTATGAGACACCGCCCAACGTTAAAGCTGGAGAATATAAAGACATCGCTCGATTCCATTTACCTTGATGTGAACCAGCGTTAAAACGCGGCCGTGAGGCCGTGCGTTCTCATCGAGTAGCCAGACTGTATGCGGTCTGATGCTCCGTTCCATAAATGTAAAGCTCTTTAGACAGCCCAAATCTAAAATCGCTCCTTCTTTGAAAATATCTGGTAATAACAAACGGCCTAGTAACCATTTCGAGTATGGAGATCAGCTTTGTATGAGTCTGTTCAGCGCTGCTATCCAACTCGCGTTCTCGCTTGTTTAAGCTAATGATTTTCTTTCCCAGTCCTGCTTCAGTGGGCAATAAAAACCGGCCCATTTCTTTTCTGTAGAGTACATTACGTGTGTTATCGTGGGGTCCGGACTCGGATCGTCAGAAACCCGTATTTCGCTTATTTTTTTATGGTTAGTTTTTTCGAAACGACTTCATAACACGTGCCTCGAAGAAGCCCGTATTGGATCGACAAAGAGCGCATTGTCTATACTCTACTTCACTCAAAAGTATCCGTGAACACTGCAATTTACTCTTTCGTTCGAGGTATTGGGTTGTGGTTATATGACCTGTGGTCTTCAGCCTCCCAATTCTGCCTTCGAAGAAGAGGTCGTAGCAGTTTTATCTATTTTCAATGGACTCTATGAGCGCTCTTACCTTTGAGGTATAGAACTGTAACAATTTTTGAGCGTTAAGCAATAATTTTGCTTCTAAACTCATTCCTCTCTGAAGGGGTCAAATGGGCTTGCAGCGGTAGACGGGAAATGACTTTTTTTTTACCGAATTTTATCTGTTAACGGTCTGTAGTTTAAAAGGTATTCAAAATATCCGCCTAGCTAAACGGCTTTGGTCAAGCTAATAACAAGCATTTAAATGACAGAAGACTGAAATTCTGATATAAAATACAACATATCAAAAAATTACCAACAATAAGTCAGATGATTAAGTTAAATAAGAAAGGAATAAATTCTTGTATCTCCCTAAGCCAATTTTATTTTGTCGTCTCAATCTAACTAATTATAACAGTGGTAAGGCTTGAGAATACAAAACGATTTGACACTAAAGCATGTAAGCCCTGTTCAGCTATAGTCTGCTAAACTTTAAGCTTTACCACTTGAATTAAATGGTTCTAAGGACTTGATATTGCCAGATTGAGATTTTATACATATGCATCTTTTTGTGTTTCAAACTTAGAGTTAAGGGCCTTTTTTGCCTAGTGGTCGTTAAAACCTTCCGCGCAAAGTGCACGCTCTTTGTAACGCGCTTGCGAAATAATGCCTTAATACCGCCCGTATAGAGCTGGCAGACGCCAGCAATCGAAAATATTATGAAATGCCGTTGTCGCCGCACCCTAAAGCTTAAATGATAATTAGTAAGCGTGCCGATAAAACAGCAAGAACGTGGGGAGGTAACTCACTGTGAATAAAATTATGAAACTAATTACATGGCATCCAACTATACAGCATAATTCTATTTTGTGTCTGAGATACTCATAATAATAACAACCTAAATTACATATAACACGATAGGATAATGAGGTCTGTATCCACTGATATTGATGGCAGGCGTTACGGTTTCTAAAATGAAAGTTCGTTTGAATGTGGATTTTTGACATGCTATCAAAGTTGCAATGTGCCAACGTATGCTTGAGGACATCAAAGGAAGATTTAGAACATCGAAGCTTTTGAACACGAAATATTGAATATGTTAAACTTCAACAGGGTTCGTATGGTTCATTCTGGCATTACTAGATTAGCCTGTTTGGTCTCATCCACAAGCTAGCTTTTTAAAATGGCCATCTTACAGGGTGATTAAAGTATTGTGCAATGGGTTTTTTGTTTTTATTTATTAAAAATTCTTGTTCAGCGTTGCTACCAGAAAATCGTGATCGTCGTACTGGGATGTAATGTTCACGTACTAGGTAATAGGTGAATTTAGTTCTACCGCAAATAAACAAATAATTTACATCTCCAATCAATTTCATTGTCCCTTGAACGCGGAAGCACGTGTTCAAATGTCCTACAGTACAGTTATATATTCCCCAACAATTTACAGACCCAGAGACTCAGGAAAGAACGCAAAATTCGGGTCATGATGACCTGTCACACCTGAAAATATAGAGTAATATGAAATCGTTATGTACTGAGAGGATGTAAATAGGACAATAGTGGATAACATTCACTAGACATTAACGAGTTGTGATATAAGAGGTATTAACGAAGCACAGCTTGATCCTTGGACAGAACACGCGCAGCAGAGCCTTTTTGTCAGTTATGTACGTAGCACCTTGCTCTAGCCCAACAATAGTGAAGAACTATAACACGAGCGGTAAGAAATGGGCACAGTTATTAGTATGACACGTTCGGAAACGCATTTGTCTAACTGTAGTTAGTGTCTTTTGTAAAAGAGCACACCTAGATATCTATAAAATTAATTTACTTTTATTTATAACATAAAATAATGGCACACTGAACGTCTTATATCTTATATCTAGTTCACGCGATGAATGTATAATAAATTTGCCACAATCCACATCAGAAATCATATGTTTACATATGTATTGATAACGGCTGACAGGCGCATGTGATGTGCTGCAAATAACATTTTCAAATAGAATTTTTACCGTTTTTCAACGTTTTTTTTCTCAATCAATTTTATTTCAAGTAAGTTAAGCTTCTCAAAAAAGGGACAGAGAACGTCAGATAAACCTAAATTAGGTAGTAGCATATCTCCAATGGTTTTTTATGTGCGTTTACCGCCTAACTACAGCTACTGAGTAAGACAGATCTTTTACAGCGTAGCCTGCCCTTCTTTTGTGGCGTGAAAGCTGTGGGTAGTTGACACGAAACTGTATTTCAAAAACAAAAATATTTTACAGAGCACGAATTTAACAAGCTACATTATTCTTACACTATAGTTAAAAACGAACTAAATTAAAAGACTTTTGGGAAGGGGGGGGGGGGGGGTAGTCACACCTTCTATGATTGGGTGTTCGTATAAATGAGTCGGAGTAGAAAATGTTAATCTGAAATTATCTAAGCAGAAGTGACGGTTACCTTTTTAACCATTGATAAGGGCATAATCCTTGATCCTATATAATCCTATACATTAGGGCAAATTAAGCAATATCGAGAAAGTACTTGCGGCACCTTAATAAAACATTACATTCATAGATGCGTCAAAGTAAATCGTTTTTAGTTTCTATCGAACAGACATTCGTTGAAGTCAAGTAGCTTTTGTTTATTGCCTACCGTAAGGCTTGAAGAAAGGACTTGTTAAACCTGGATTCAAGTTGCTTTATCGGTGAAGCGGAGTAAAAAATTACTTAGGGCTCGTCCGGGATTTGAACCCGGGACCTCTCGCACCCGAAGCGAGAATCATACCCCTAGACCAACGAGCCGATGAGTAGGTTGCTGGATACCATGTTCTTGGTAACAACAGACAGAATTAAAACTTTTTAATTGCAATATCCAGGACATACGGTGAAAGAGTTTACGGAACATTCTTCTATGGAGTTTTCCCGAAAACAGATTTGTAATTGACCAACTGTGTGTACTGTCCAGTCAGTACAGCTTGTAGAAGTTACGAAACTCAGGTTAGAACTAGTGCAATCTTTGTCGCCTGGTAAGTTGAACTTGGTTCTGTTCGATAGTTGCAAAGATCAAACTTTCGGTTACTATACTATAATATTGGGTGGTCGACAAGTGCTGACCATGCTAAACCCAAAATTAAAGCAAATATTTTTCTCACAACATTATAATCTTTCAATATCATTGTGGATCTTCTGTGGTTTCTGGGCAAAAAATCATAATAAGCAATATGTGGTGTTCTATGTTGAGGATGGCGCCGACTAGCTCCGGTCAGTTTTCTTGAATCATTTGTCGCGGATCGCTCACTTGGCCAACCATCAGCAACTTATAGCACACGATTCTGTTTTCAATCCCTTTGCCACTGACATTTCCACATTACTATCGTATGTCAGTCGGTCTACCGTAATGAACTTCTTAATAAGAACTAGCCCGATCTTGTTATCTTTTCTTAGAATTGCATTGATGGAAATACGATCAAGCGAATTATCTTGCGTCCCTTGCGAGTTTCTTTTATAGCCAGCTCTGGTCAAACCTGACCTGAAACTCTATCGTGATGCGTGTGTAGTCCACAATGAGAAATATCCTTCGCATTAAAATTTCTAGAACAAATGCTACACAGCGCATCTTTTAGCCATTTTTCTCAATGACGCCTCTTAATTATAAACGGTACAAATCTGCTTGTGACCAGTCTAGCCGGAAAAATGGTCAATACTTTTTTTTTTTTTTTGAAAATCCAATTTCAGTATTAAAATGTCAAATGATTTTCGTCAC